CGCAGTGTTTCTTGGTTTATGACGCGTTGATTTGAATGATTCTCGATTGAAATAGTGTATTTATGTTATGAGCAAGACCTTCAATGAACAACTTTATTCTTTATGAACAGTCAAAGAATTTATTGGCAAAATAATAGAGTTGGCTGCATTGTGATAAATCTATAGAATGCACAATTGTTGCGCTGCATTACGCAGTTGGCAGTTTCGGTGATAAATTGAATGCAACAAAAAATAACAATTTTAAAAATACGTTCTACACAAAACTATATGATATGGCTGGCACAAATTCATATGGTTCGATTCTCAATAAACAAGACAATAAGACTCGGCGAGAAATAATGTTGAGCGGTAACAAATAGCATACAGTGAATGCGTCGTTTGTTTTGTTTTGTTTTCTTTCAGATGTTCACAATCTTTCAAAAAGTTCGAAATCTTTTTTTATTGAAATCACACAGCAAATAAATACAATCATGAAAATGAAAATCACGAATTACGAAACGAAATGTATTGTAGAAGTATGCGTGGCGCATTTATATGCTGAATCGAAAAAATTGTTCCTAATCAGCGCTAAACATCAAATGAACATTCACTGTTGGATGTTTCGACATTTTATGGTAGTCGAGTGCAATCAGGCGAATTTCTTTCTGGAGCACAGCACCAATATCGAGTTGAAACATATCACATAGGTGGACTTCGCATCGTCAATTAGCAGTCCACAATCACGCAGTGTTGACAACACGGTTTGTTCGTCTATGTATAAACAGGAAAATTTACGGCCACCAAAAGAACACCATGTCTCTTCAAGGACTGCACCCATCATAAGGAATCCTGTAAAGATGGATTTGGCTTGACGATCATCCTCGGTAAATGAATGTAAGACGCATAGGATCTTGTTCGAAATGTTGCTTATGGGCTGGCTGCATTAGCAAATGTAGTACTGAAGTTGTTTTCAGTTGCTAATGTCAAATCTAATGTTGCTGATTTATCTGTTGATTGAGATGTGTTTATGGCATCGATCAGTGTTGACTACTGAACGATGCCATGTTTATTCGCAATGTTTCGTGATCGAGATTGATCACAATGGATAAAAGCTGTGTGGATTTGGAAAATGATAACGGGTGATGTGAGGTTGATTAATTGAACGATGATGCCATTGATCAAACGTCTAATGATGCAACAATCAAACTTGTTGATAATGTCAGAAGGAGACTATGCTACCCGTTCCGCAGTCTGCGTTGTTTATCGAAATGATCCGTCATTTTGCATCAGAATAAGTGTGATGTCAGAGAGTTTATAAAGTTTAGCAAATTACGATATTAATCATGATCTTGATTGAGGTACGACTGCAGATAAATAAATTGTTGAAGCGATTTCGAAACGATTTCGAAGCGCTTTCATTCTCTAAGATCTTGAGAAAATGTTTAAATCCAATAATGATCGAACTGCCAAATAATGATCTGTTAACGCACAAACATAAATTCAACTCTTCTTTGATATTGTTTGATTCAAAACCAGGACACAGACCCATCAGCATGAAGAAATAGTGAAAGGATTTACCTCCGGGCTTCACTTGATCCACCACATTCGCAATTGCTTGTTTATACTCATCGAGTGTATTGCAGCAGTATTCCACACAAAAAATTGTTGTTACCACCTGAAGAAAAATATAAACGCACTGCTCAAAAGCACTTTGATTGACGTGGGTCACTCAATTCATGGCAGGGACTACGTGTTTGTCGTCAGAAGAGTGCATCGATCAGGATGAAGATCGATCGGCACCCTCTTGGAAACGCCGCATCGTTCTCTTAAGAATATGAAGTGATGAGACTTCAACATATCAAACTCACATCGAAATTGCATTGCAGTGAAGGCGGTGCATCAACAGAAGGCCGACTGAAGCAATTGCAGTGGAACACATCTCGAACCTGGAAACACAGTGAATACTTAGCATCTGATTGTGACTGATAAAGTTTGCGGCTTTTCGAAGTTACAGTGAGATGATCGACATTTTCTTAAGTCATCTAGCCATACTGCACTCGCAACCTAGAGTTTTCAATCGTCATACATTGTAGATCATCATTAATTAGTAACTCGATGATTTTAGTTTCTAGTGTGAGAAGTTTTATATGGAACACCTTCGATCGTGCTTCCTCTTCCATTTGTAGAATACTACTCCAGTCTACACCTTCGATATTAGCAATCCTCTTGATGGTTTCAAACCAGTCGAAATCGCTTCTTGATTGACGCCACTTGCTGAGTTCCTCACGATTCTGCGGCAAATAATCGGCCAAATATATCTGAAAGTGTTTTTCATAAGCATTCACCTAGCAGGAAGTTGCTCGTTAGTTGATTTGTGTAGTCGCAACACATGTCTTATACCACTGAAAAGTGTAAAAAACGTAACTTGTGGATATAAATCGACATAATGTTATGGCTCAGCTGTCAGCTACAACTTGTACTACTCTGCGAACAACTTTTTCAGTTTACACTTTCCGCATCGTGACGTCAAGATCAGCATTTTCTTACCTTACCTCATCGCACCTCACATCGCAATTAATCTTCGAATTGCGCTTATGCGCTAAATTAATTCGTTTGACGTAAACTAATGATGCATGGTGACGAACGTCTGTTTACTCGAATCTTATGCGAACTAATTTCGGATAACTGTACACCTGAACATTATTTCGGAGAGTTCAACGCTTTGATCTATTTGAGGCGAATGATTTGATTTATGTGATTTCACGTATGATTTCAGTTGACTACACGCAATGAATTGTTCGAATCACCACTCATCTGCGAGGAATTTGGATTTCCTCATACATTCTGTGCAGTGTGTCGAAAGGCGACCGCCACGTGGATGGTTGGGCCGGCGCCGAAATCCAGTAGATTCTCCACTTTGCCGACTCGAGCCGCGATGTTGGGCAGGAAGGTGAGAATGAGTTGCATTGCCGGATCCTCGACACGCGTATAGAAGTCCTGTAGTGAACAGATGGAAAGCATTAGAAACATTTTCGATAAATCGTTTTTGTCATCAAATAGCATTTCGATAAAAATTTTAAAAAATTAAGAAAAAAGAGATGTGAATAAAAATCTTTAAAGAATCTCAGTGTTATATGTAGACGAAAGTGCAAAAATCTTACGCGTAGATAAGCTTTCGAATCAAATTCAGTTCTTATGTGATCTCTCGACAGAATTTCCGCATTTTTCTTTTGTTCCTTGTAGTGCTCTTCCTCTCTTGGCATCACTTGAAAACAGAATTTATTCTGAGAATTTTCCTACAATTAATAACAGGAACAAATGTTAAAAACAGAATTCAAATAGGTCTGGAAGAAAACCGTCGTTTGATTGTGAGATGAACCGAATCAAAGATGATTTAATTTTAGAAAGAGACTACGAAAAAGCACATCGAATTATTCGAAGAATTACAGACGAAGTGGAAGCAATCACCAATGGATTGTAGCATTTTGAGGTGGATTAGTTGAAGAACTAAAGTGCTCAGCTTGAGAGGTTTTTATACAGATTATTGGTGATGATGAATAAGATCGGAGGATGGAATAAAAGCAGGCAAAGGAGGAGCGTAAAATGATTTCATTTGCGGCTGCTCTGACTAGTTAACTTTCAACAGACGAATTATGAAGCACAGCTGTTTTCAAGCTCGATCTCACCTCTTCTGCAACACAACAATGTGTCACTTTCCTCATTATATGCTCATGTGTTTAGGTGATTGCTTGTGTGCACAATCATACAGGTACATTACTATTATGTGCTTTGCAGATTGCTCAATCTGTGACTCTGTTTATTCGATCGTCATGTTGATCAAGCATCGTGCGTATGACTCGAGTTGATTGGTCTGGCTGTCGATAGAGGAGGAAATCAATCAACGAAGTCGTAAATGATCAGTCAGTTATGTGTTTTTTATGCGAAAGGATTCTTTTAATTTGGTGCAATTGTTGTTTAGTCTCATTGAGTCCGAACTAAAGAACATCTACCAGAAAAATACCTGCGATCAA